GGTGACGTTGAAAGAAGTCACGCAAGGTTGTATTTCATGTTTCTAGACTTTTGGTCTTCCACCTCTAGTTTGATTTCTTCACAGTCCTTTCTTAAATTCATTATTTCGTTTTGGATAATGCATTGATTTATTGAAATGTCTCTGGTTTCCATTATTACACCTTGGAATTCTCCGTGTGTTTTTGATGATGTTGTCTTTTTTTTCAGTCTTTCTTTTCACATGTTCATAGAATTCCCCGATAGCTTCCGTACTTTTTTCTATTTCAATGTTTTTCTGTACTATTTCCTTCACCTGATGTTCCATAGTAATATCCTTCGCATTTAGGGAAGTTAATGCAGCATCTATACGATCAATCTTGTGTACTGGTGTTTCTAATCGATCGCTCATGTTTTTCATCATCTCTATAAGTTGCCGCATAGAACTGGCTGTATCTGTTTCGGTGTCCCCGTGTAGGACCCCGCGCACACTTTCTTATATACTGGATGTAGTGCTTCTAGTCATCATTGTCGTCGCGTGCTGGCTTACGCGCCCATATGCATGTACATTGTAGCACACAGGTGACACACTTACTGCATACTTCCCACCTCTCACAATGGAAAACTGTGGGCAATAAATCACTTGCTACCACAATCCACTGCACACATAATCCCCTTTCATGACCAATCATGATTACATGACCATGAAAGGGAGTGTGCCCAGTGGACTGTGGTCACAAATGCTGTAAGAAAGGGGAGATAATCAATAAGTAAGTAACGAGTTAACAGTGGAAAGAATAAACTTAGTTGACACATTTAAAATAAGAAAAAAAATAAGTTAAAAATGGTAATTTCATGATTGAAACAAACAATAAAAATTACTGAGTTGGCAGCGTTTTTGATTTCCTTATCACGTGAGAGGATAAGCATTTCATGGAAAAGTTTATAATCTTAAGGAGCTATTTCTTAATTTAAAATTGTACATTCAAATATACCATTCATTGAAAGAACTGGAATTCATTAGGGATTGATAAACCCTTACATTGTATGTATGAAAATGGTTTCAATATCCTGTACTTTTGCCACATCTTGAAAATTAAACTGAAAATGTAGTCAGAAATTCAACATTGCGTCCCGTATTTTGTTCTAATTGTTGCACAGACACGCCTTATCTTCCCTGACACTGGAGCTGGGTGGTTATACAAAAACACTTGCATCCATTATGAAGGATACACTCAGACTGGGCTATTGAGAATAAAGAAAAACATCCGAGTAGTACTCACTAACACAGGTACATGTAAATTATCTGCAGTGTAGAGTTGGTTAAAAGATTGTCCAGGTGAACATTTTTACTCAATTTTTCTGTTTTGTTCGAGTTGGGAAGCATTCAGTAAGCCAGTTATTGCATGATTTCTCGGCACTCGGGACTTATTACACCCTCGATTTGCTCGGGTGTAACAAATCCCTTACTGCATACTTCCCACCTCTCACAATGGAAAACTGTGGGCAATAAATCACTTGCTACCACAGTCCACTGCACACATAATCCCCTTTCATGGCCAATCTTGATTACATGACCATGAACTTGGGTGTGCCCAGTGGACTGTGGTCACAAATGCTGTAAGAAAGGGGAGATAATCAATAAGAAGTTAACGATTAAGTCAATACAGTGGAAAGGATAAACTTAATTGACACATTTAAAATATGAAAATTATCAAAAATAAGGTTAAAAAGGGTTATTTCATGATTGAAAAACAAACAAACAAAACGACTGAGTTGGCAGCGTTATTAATTTCCTAATGTTGTGTCGACGGTCTGTTTACATTACGTCATCCGGGCTTTAACCGGAAGTGTTGCGTAGCAGATCCCGTGATGCTTGGGTGAATATACCTGGACCCCAACTCTCTTACTTCCAGGATTCCAGACTGTACGGACGGTTTATGGTGCTCTGCATATTGTTGTCATTGTACTCCTTCATTCCTACAGTCTGCTCTACTTATAGTAGTGACAATTTATCGGTGAAGTAATAATTACCTTCTGTCTTGGTCTTGCAAGCCGTCACATGGTTGACTATATCATAATGTCGCTGGACAGGTCAGGTCAAGTAATATAGCTCACCATACTAGTAAATATGTATCTGGCACGGTACCCAACAATATGCGAGGTCACCGAGAAACTGTCACTACTATAAGTAGAGCACACTGTAGGACTAAGGGGTTACAATTTCTACAATATGCAGAGCACAATAAACCGTCCGTACAGTCTGTTGTGTCGACGGTCTGTTTACATTACGTCATCCGGGCTTTAACCGGAAGTGAGGCGTAGCAGATCCCGTGATGCTTGGGTGAATATACCTGGACCCCAACTCTCTTCCTTCCAGGATTCCAGACTGTACGGACGGTTTATGGTGCTCTGCATATAGTAGTCATTGTACCCCTTCATTCCTACAGTCTGCTCTACTTATAGTAGTGACAGTTTCTCGGTGACCTCGCGTATTGTTGGGTACCGTGCCAGATACATATTTACTAGTATTGTGAGCTATATTACTTGACCTGACCTGTCCAGCGACATTATGATATAGTCAACCATGTGACGGCTTGCAAGACCAAGACAGAAGGTAATTATTACTTCATTGGTGTCAGAAGTGCTAGGATAGCATTGCCTTTTAGTGTGGAATTTATTCGCGCTGTATTTCTGATAATTCAACAGCTTTGAGTCGGAATTTTTCTGATTTTTACCTGTTGTAGTAGTCACGTGGTCACGCGGTTTTCATTCCGATATTTGTATCAGATATCCGGAAATTACGGCAGTTATTTTGGAAAGAGAGGGAAAAAACTGACAACATTTTAAAAGAACATTAATTAATAAAAACAACATGGCCCAACACTGTTTGATAAATATCAACACTGCAACAGAAATGGAAATGAGGCAACTTCCAGGCATAGGGCCTAGGAGGGCTGCCAGAATTATGGAAATTCGGGAACAATTTGGGTTCATTTCAATGCCCCAGTTTACATCAGTTTTTGGTGGGAGGAGGATGGACAGGGACCTAATAAATCTTATAGATTTTGAGGACAATATCCCTGTGCCGGACAGCCAACATTCTGAGTCACAGAATTTAAGAGATCTGCTAGGACATGTACCATCAGATATGGGTGCTACCACACCCCAACAAGGGACAGATGACCTAGCAGCCCCACCAGTAAGGGAACGGCAGATGTTACGTTCAGTACCGGGTGAACCCCCATATACAGCCCGAATACGGACCCCTACCCGTGTTGCCTCACCCCATGTTGCCCAACCCGTTGCACACACCACTAAACCTGGTGCAGGTAAGGAGGCTGATACCTATTGCCCTGATGTGGACAACAGCACTGACCCATGGTCATCAACAAATCTACAGGGTAAGCAGCCAAGACCTGCACGAGAACAGAACCCATACATGGCTGATTTCCCCCAGGTTCCATACCAAAATTTATCAAGGGACGAGGGAGCCAGGTATAAGGTTCTGTCTAAACATGGTGTTAAACAGGAGATGGTGGAGCACAGCACAGCTGAATCTGGATATTCGTATGTATCAGGTTCCTCCAGGATGCATGAAATGTATCAAGAGCTGATACGTATGCGAAGCAGTTTAGCCGTTGAGGACAAGTACCAGCCCAGTTGTCCATCAAGTCCAACTGTTTACCAGGACATGCCAGTGAGAAGTCCGAGGAACCTTGACAAAGGCAAGCACCGACACTATACATCAAGTCAGTGCTCCAGGTCGTCAAGGTCACCGGATATGGTTCCTACTCATAGGAAACATACAGAGGCTCCTGGTACACAGATGGTATCATCTAGGCATAGAGACCACCAAAGGTCACAGGACAACACTGATGGCCGAGGTTTGGTATCGGACCGGACACGAGGGAAACCTTATGAGGGAAAACACAGGGGTAGCCATCATAAATACAGAACCCCTTCAAGGTCACCCTCGCCCTCGGAGTCATTATATGACTCGAGGTCAAAATCTAGGTCGAGGCCATCAGGGAGGTATGCTGGGAGGTCCTCAAGAACACCATCAAGGGACAGACATGGCCGTAGACACAGTCCTTATAGGACAGGACACAGCTCTTATAGGGCTAAATCTCGTCACGGTCATAGAAACAGGAAGGATAGGTCGCATGCCCGACGTCGACATGGACAACGTCATCATGATAGTGAGGGGAGAGGTAGGTCAAGGTTTTACTTTGATTCCTCTGATTCCTCCAGTGACGGCGACTACTCTGAGGACTACCATGAACATTCATCCAGAAGGGGAAATCCTATGAAATTACCCAAAAATCTGAAGTTTGATGGTAAAACTAATTGGCTGTCATTCAAGCAGAAGTTTGACAGCTACAGACACGTCCTCGAATGGTCACACAGTCAGTTTCGGGATTATCTTGGATGGGCATTAGAAGGAAAGGCGTTGGACTACTTCACCCTAGTCACAAAGATGGGAAGCTGCCATTCTTTCCGGGAAATCATGCGTAAGCTGGAGACTCGTTTGGGCGCCAAAGAATTAACAGAGACGGCCAGGATACAATTTCAGCAGGCCAGTCAAAGCCAAGACGAGCCCTTAGATGAATGGGTAGATAGAGTCATGACTCTAGCCACTCCAGCTTATCGCCACCTACATGAAAAATATGGCTGTACTGAAGCTATCGCCAAGTACTGTCAAGGAGCCACAGACAAGGAAGCAGGTAAACATGCTTGTCTGGGCCATCCAAGATCAATGGAGAATGCGACTAATCTGATGAAACACTTTCAGTATGTCAGTCAAGCTATGGACAATAAAAAGGGTAAGCGCAAAGATCAAGATGTTACTGGAAACGTCAATGCAGTATCTGCGAGCGACTCCAGAATGGAGGAGATGATAGAGAAGGCTATCAACAAGCTTGCAGAGAAACTGGGCTGGACGAAAGTACAAGACAGCCAGTGATAAACCCGCTTACAACAAAGATCAGAAGTCCATGGTTTGAGGTAGAATGCCGTAGCCGCATGGTAAATATAAACCAGTTAGCCATGTCAGAATGTGACCCCGTTACCTATCCAACTAAGGAGCATCTGGCTACACTACCAGAGGACATGGAGGTCGCAGTGGGGGTACATCCGAAGCACCAGTACTCGCAGGAGCAGTTCAACCGCGTTGTCCAGGAGCTGCGTCAACTTATCCTTCTGCCTAGTGTCGGAGCAGTCGGCGAGATTGGGCTGGACCATTCTGTCCCTAGGGAGCAGTGGGCTCAGCAGTCAGTTATGCTGGAGAAGATTCTGCCACCTGTGGAACCCAGGCATGTCCTGGCATTACACTGTAGAGGAATCACCGGAGACAGTGGAGCGGAGGCCTATCTACTTCTGCTCTATTATGTGAAGAAGGCTGTGGGTCCTGACCAGAGAATACATCTCCATTGTTTCAGTGGAGATTCGTATGTTCGTGACCAGTGGACCAGTGCCTTCTCACAGCTGTACTTCGGATTCACCAGTATGGCTGCTAAGTTCAAAAACCAGCAGTCCCAAGCCGTGAGGGGAAACAACTCTGAACGAGTACTGTTAGAGACGGACGCTCCATATTTTGCCAGACCTGGAACCAAGTGCTCCGCACCAAACCAACTGTTCCGGACAGCGTCGTCTCTAGCACGTTACTTCAAGATGAACCCGGAATCACTGCTTGCTACATCTGTCCAGAACGCCCGACGACTGTATCGACGCGTGTAGGTTATTTTATAACATCTATGGTCAGGGGTACCTGGTCTTTTAGGCCAGGTGTGTGCTTATAGTGCTACCCTGTACCTATACTCCAGAAGACCTAAAGAGGCTGGGCCTTGACTCTGTGTTTCATGGAGCAACAACCAGTAATAGAATATGTGGAAAACACAGGCTTATAGCTTGTGGGAACTTGAACTAAGGGTCAGGATATTCTCCAATTCAGGATCTCCCAGAACGAAGGATTTTCATTATAAAGTGGGGAGGAATGTTGTGTCGACAGTCTGTTTACATTACATCATCCGGGCTTTAACCGGAAGTGAGGCGTAGCAGATCCCGTGATGCGTGGGTGAATATACCTGGACCCCAACTCTCTTCCTTCCAGGATTCCAGACTGGACGGACGGTTTATGGTGCTCTGCATATTGTAGTCATTGTACTCCTTCATTCCTACAGTCTGCTCTACTTATAGTAATGACAGTTTCTCGGTGACCTCGCATATTGTTGGGCACCGTGACAGATATTTATTTACTAGTATTACTAGCGTTGTGAGCTATATCTCTCCTGCCTGACCAGTCCAGCGACATTGAGATATAGTCAATCACGTGGCGGCTTGGAAAACCAAGATAGAAGGTAATTATTACTTCACTTATCACGTGAGAGGATAAGCATTTCATGGAAAAGTTTATAAACTTTAGGAGCTGTTTCTTTATACAAAATTGTAGATTAAAATATCCCATTCATTGAAAGAAATGGAATTCCTTAGGGATTGATAAACCCTTACATTGTATATATAAAAATGGTTTCAATATCCTGTACATTTGCGACATCTTGAAAATTAAACTGAAAATGTAGTCAGAAATTCAACATTGTTTCCCGTATTTTGTTCTTATTGTTGAACAGACACTCCTTACCTTCCCTGACACTGGAGGTGGATAGTAATCCAAAAACACTTGTATCCATTATGAAGGATACACTCAGACTGGGCTATTGAAAATAAAGACAAACTTACCTGGTTCTGATTATTACTCACTCACACAGGTACATGTACATTATCTGTGTAGGGTAGGTAAAAAGATTGTCCAGGTGAACATTTTTCATCAGTTATCAACGGAGCTCTCAAAACCGTGTATGCCTCTGTTCGGCGCGATCTTGAAACACGCGGACATAATCCCTAGACTGTTGTCTAAATGAAACAGGTGTGTACAGATGTGTAATTTTATGATTTCAATCGGCTTTACATAAGAAATCATTGGTTATTACATAAACTTGTTCAGATTTTTAAAAAAAGTAGAATTACACAGTTAGATAATAGCCTATGTTGAGCTTCAAATAATCATCTTGATGATAATTAACCATTGTTTTTAAATTATTTGCAGTTCTTAATATAATTATCGGTCATTCAATATTGAGACAAAATAAACATACATTTTATATACATGGAACACTCAATTCCCCAGAAATAATGAAAGGTTACAAATTTCATCAAAATGGTAATTAAATTAAAAAAAGAACAAGAACAGCGAAACTGAATACAAATACTTCAACATATATTCATAAGTTTTCAAAGTACCGATGTTATAACTATGATGCTCGTGATCTCCTATATTCCAATACATTATTCTAGAAACAAGTACAAATGGTAATATATGAAAGTGAGCGAGTATAATTATGGTTTTTCCGTTACTGTCCTACTATCTATCACTAATGAATTTGTTTTTCTCTTTCTCTTTCCAGATATCGTTTACTTGTTAATATGTACAATATATTGTTGTGAAGACATTTAAAATATGTCTAGGTTAAGCAAAGAATTTCACTAATGTGTATCCATTCGTTTACTGTTCCATTCGTGAATGAAACAAAGAAAACAATACCCTTTTTTGAATAGCCTCTTTATAGTTATTTTAGACATCACATCTTCTCTTGTGGATAATCTATTAGGATTTGTTTATCTTCATGTTGTCATGTTGTCGTTGGTATGTCTAACAAAACTAATAGAAATATACTTCATCATACTAGTTCCTATTTCAAAAACACTAAATGATTCTCAATGTATAAGTAATATCTTGTAATTGAATATCGGTATAGAAAAAGGCTTTCATGTATATAGGCTAAGCATCAGGGGCGTAGCTAGGCCCAACGATATGTGTAAGCCCAGGCGAGAGGCCTGGGGGCCGCCCAGCGAGTCCAGGGCAGGGCCCTGGATGGGTGTTCAGGGGGGGGGGGGGGGCCCCCCCCCCCCCCCCCCCCCCCCCCCCCCGGAGGAAAATTCTTTTTTATGATTTGACGAAGCATTCATATTGTTATCAGAGACAGTTATTTAAAGACATATTTTAGTGTCAAATGCGCTGAAATGAAGAACATCACATAACTTATGTTCACTTTTATGTTTATTTTACACTGCACGTTGCCTATCCAACATGCAGTTTACAGCTTAGAGCTAGAAATGTCTAAGAGATAAAAGACACTTTCCCTTTCTTTTGTGTTATGAAGGTCTGTACTACGTTGTTCGTATTGGTAGGAATTTCTCTGTGGACATGTAGCATTACTAGCGAGGTAAGACGGTCTTGGTTTGTCTTGGTACTCTTCAGTAAAAAGTTCCACTGAGGCCCTTAGGGATTGTATGTCTTGATCAAAAATTCTTTGTTTTATCAATGGTTATAACATATTATGCTGAGATATACATGGATTTAACCAAACATCACTAAGCCCTAGATCAATTAATTCATCTCTTACTGCTTTAGTCCAGTTGAAATCGTGTTTACTACAACATTGTAATAAAAATCTATAGGAGGAGGATATGATACAATTTCCAGATGTTAAGATCTTAAACCAATATTTCATCATTCTAATTTTTCTCATCCAAACTAGAGGTAATCGTCTTAATTCAAGATATACCATATTGTTATTGGCCAATTTCTTCACTTTAAGTAATTTCTTACAAAAATGTAAATGTACACGTTCAATCTCTGGAGCTTTGTGCATACACCAAATTTAACTTGCATAAAAAAGGATACTGCTTACATATGTATCGAAAAGGTGTAGTATAGTTTTTACATTTAAATTTAATGATGAACACTTTAAAAAAAAACAATGCAAACATAGCTTTTCGTCCTTGGGTAGCTAATTGTTTTTGGATAGAAGTGATTTTTTTATTTTTTTTTCACATTACAATAACATATACATTTCGTTATACATAATGAAATCCTCTTTCACACATACTTTCATTCTGATTAATATTGCTCCTTTTGTAAGGGGTATTTTATTTTTTAGTAATGTTATATAAGAAAGGAAGGAAAATCAGATAAGGGAAACAAGAAAACAAAGCATAGTGGAAATAAAGACAGGTAAATGGACAGAAAGACAGATTGACAGACAGACGAAAAGATAGACTGACACGAGGAGAAGTACCAGTGAATTTATTATTGTATTTTAGAATAACGCCTAGGTAAGGAAATTGATCCACACATTCGACTTAACTACCGTTTAAGTTAGAGTTTTCAAAAAGGCTGTCAAGAAGAGTCTGCAGGCCCTGCACAGATTCCGAAAAAATAACCAAATCATCTGCGTACATAAACAGACACAAACTTAACTCACCGAAGTCGTAATATGTTGCACCGTTTTAAATAAAGGACATTTCAAAATCATTGATAAAAAGTGAAAACAGTAATGGTGACAAAATTTCCCCTTACAATATACCGACATTGTTTTCAAAAAAGTTAGAGCATTTCCCATTAATTAAAACATAGGATTTGACCGATTTATAAAGCGACTTAATAACCGACAACATTTTTCCTCGCATACCAAGTCTAGTCAACTTGCGCCATAAGCTTAACCTGTTGACAAAATCAAACGCTTTGCGAAAGTCCACAAAGCAACAGTACAAACGTTTCTTTGAAGATGACGTTTTCGTTATAATGGAATGTAATGCGAAAATTGCATCAATCGTTCTAAGTTCTGGACGAAATCCGATTTGTGCATCAGTAATAAGGTCATATTTTGTACACACATCTAAAATACGTTTATTTAGTACACAGGTAAAAAGTTTACAAAGACAACGAATTAAACTAATACCTCCTAAGTTATTAGGGTCATTTAAAACACCTTTCTTATGGACAGGAATAATTATGGCTGACGACCAATTAGAAGGAAAATAACCAGGTTCTAGTATATTATTAAGCAACGTAGATATAGTTGGAAGAAGTCATTCCTCTCCAGCTTTTAAACATTCATTTAACAAACCATCAGGTCCATGTGATTTACCTCATTGCAATTTTACTTCTTGTAACGAAATAGGAGCATCTAATTCCTCAAAAACAGTGTCATTATCAGTAAGACTAAAGTCGTCATGATGGACTGGATCTTGTTGTACAGAAGATAGGCTTTGAAATGATTGTACAATTGATTACTATTATACATTAGTGTTTTAGCTTTCGTCTTATCAATTTTTTTTATAAAAAAGACCCGGGTTATGTTTTCTCATATACTCCAAAATATCACCTTCAAAATTCAACAAATTCGCAAACCATGATTTTTTTAACAACAGAAAACATACTAAATGACATTAATACATAATCAATAACACTCATTCCATTTGCACCACAGAAAGTAAAATTATTAGAGAGATTGTCTAGGTCTTTACCATTTAAAATTCTTAGACCCGAGGATTAACATAGGTTTAATAATCTAGTACCAAATTCGTTGACTCCTGGATCAGGATTTGTTGTGGTCGGCAGAAGCCTTTCTTCATCAGTATCACTTAAGTAATTAAAAATGGATTCAATATGTGACTGTATACCGCCATATCAAATGTCGAATGAAATAAAATCATCTGTATTACGGGTACGACTGTTTAAACCACCTATAGCCATTATATTTCTGGATTCAGAATATTCGCTTATAACTGTTCTAAAATTGAAAAAAAAAGACGAACTAGGTGGAATAATCTAAATAACAATATAAGGTTGTCAGTACAACTGGTTAAACCCTGGTCAAGAGTTTCCGGTATAATTG